TGGCGGTTCAAACCCACCAGCCACTCCTTGGAAGGAAGATGGGGCAATCTACTTCCGTAGTGATACTGCCTCAGAAACCCAAGGAGGGGTCGCTATGGGTCGGGTCCAACTCAACGGCACATAACAACAACAACAGCAAAATATGTGTTGGAGTCCTGACCCCCATACCTGTGGATATCTTTGTTGTTGTTGTTGTTGTTACATGCTGTTGAGTCAGACTCGACTCATAGCGACCCCTCCTTGGGTTTCCGAGGCGGTATCACTGAGGAAGTAGATTGCCCAACCGTCCTTCCAAGCAGTGGCTGGTGGGTTTGAACCACCAGCCTTATGGTTAGCAGTCTACCAGAGCTCCTGGGGATACCTTTGAAAGTAGAATTTTCTTTGTTATCTTAATGAGTCCACTTCAGTAGGGTGTGTCCTAAATCTAATCACTTTCAAGTGATATAAAGAGCAGCATAAACACGGAGACAAGCAAGCACAAATAGGGGAAAGACAGAAACTGCAAAGTGATTGCCAAGGAACTGAGGCATGCCAGAGAAGCAGAGACAAGGATTCGCTCTGAAAGCTGACAGAGGAGAGAGAGTGCCCTCTCCTAGAGCAAGTAAGTGCCTTGAATTTACTTCAAACCTTTTAAACTGTGAACGAAATAAGTTTCTGTTCATTAAAGCCATCCATTTCTGGCATTTCTTTTATAGCAGCATCAAGAAACTAAGATACACAGTGATTCAGTATCATCACTGTGGACATACATTGCAGGGAGACCTAGAGACCATACGGAGCAGTTCTACCCTGTCCAACAAGGTCGCTATGCTGTGGAATTGATTTGCTGGCAATGGGTTTGGTTTGGGTTTCTGAAGGCTTTAAAAATGTGGTTGTTCTACGGGCTCTTGAGCCATGTAAGATTACTTGCTCCTACACTAAATATCTCATTTTTTAAAACTAATTGATAGAGGAGGCGGGGCAAGATGGCGGACTAGGCAGAAGGATTGCACAGACCCTCTTCAACAAAGAAAAGGGAAACCAATTAACACAGACACAGAAGATAATCTTG